CTTAGCATATTGTAAGTTTCGTTTAAAAATCAGAGTGGTTTTTCCCCGGTTTAAACAGCACAGCTTGTGATTTTTCAAATAGGTTATCCACCACATTGTCGAGTAGGGATAAGTGTTTAGAGATTGTCCCCACATTCAACTTTATGGGCCACTGAAAAAGAATTGTACCATTGATCGAAATCTCCCTAGTAGCTTTGCTTGAAATAAGAACCCCCGACCACGGAACCATAGGACAAATATTCAAGCTGTTTTTGCTTCAGCCCCCAGACTCCTATACGGCCGAATAGGTGATCTCCGACAGCGAAAATATGGTCAAACATTTTAACTGGCCATTTTTGTGGACATACGTGCTTTATTAATAAATCGAATATCTTGTCGGCAGTATAGGACAAAAGAGGGTTCCTGTTTATTCTCCCTATAGAGCTGGCGGCACGTTTCTGAGAATAAACTGAAACTCTTGTTCTTTTATCTTTCAAACGGGGTTTAAGACTTTGCAAGTTCTGCCTTCAGTGGACTTCTTTAGTTCATTTCCCCCATTGCAGGTGTAGTAGGCCCAAGTTATGGAATTTAATTGGAAAAAATGCTTGGCGGCTTGAAATATTAAGATGAAATTGAAATTGAATTGCCTTGAAAAAGAAAATTCACTGCTAAAACCGATGGGGATGTTAGCCTTAGGTATATTCTTTAGTGGTTGGTATACTCCATTAGTAAATACCCCATCCCCTGTAGCACAGCATCATTTCAACCATAAGCGTTCGTGAAGTGAAGCCTGTAAACATAGCAAAAACAATATCTGCGCAAGTTCACTGTCAAACGGAATGGCGTCTGTCCAGAACGATAACAAACTGTTTTACTTGTATTCGCTGCAAGAAGAAATGCCGTGCCTGCGGATAATGGTTTAACCACGAGCTACGCAAAACTAACTTTCGATGAACCAAACTATGTTTATTTAGAGCAGGACGTTTATAAATCTGTTGGATGTTGATTCGCAAAGCTTAGCGAGGAAACTTTATTGAGGGGGTAACCTGTGTGCAATTGAGTATAAGCATTTGCGCGAGAAGCTTTGTTTTTGGGATTAATTTCACGGCTTTCTCGTGTATATTTTCAAGCCGAATGATCCCACTTATGTGTCTTTCAACAAGTGATGGATAATGTTGACCACCATCAAATAGATACCATCGTCTCCTAAGCAGAAATGCCTCAGATTCTTAAGGTAAATTTTCTAATTAGCTATTGTTAAAGGAACACATCAAAATAAGTGATTATCAGAAAATGCGGTATTATCAAACTCACACGTTAAGTGAAAGGCAACTATCGTTAAACAAGAAAGTACAGCATCACTCAGTTGTCGAAAAAATGTTGAAAATCTATGGAAAAGCATGAACTGTTTGGTTGTTGTTCTGTTCGCCAAGCTTGGCAGTTGGATTGCAAACGTTTCATCACCAATCAAGGTGACATCGTCAGTGCGGGGTTAAGTGGGTGAATTCCTCCTCTTCTGCCTGTGATTATATAGATTCTAAACAGTATTTGGTAGTTCTGGAGACGGTAGTCGTGTAGTTTGATTGGTCTTCTGTGAATCTCACGTGGTTTCAACATCCTGAGTCTGGTTGTTTCGTTGGATGCATTCAAATCGGCAGTTCTGTATGTGGTTGTCACGCTGTGATTCGGTCGTTTCCTTCTTGCTTTTTGGGGTGTGTTTTGCTCAGTTGATTGGCCCTCTGTTTTGCGTGATTGTCTTCCTTTGACCCAATTAGTCCATTGGTTGCCATTAGGTTTCTTATCTCCGAGTCCCGTGACCGTGTGGTTCTTTCGCTCGTAACGGCTGATAGACTGGGTCAATGTCGATGTGTTTATTGATCGATTTTTGTGTGGAGTACCACGCCTCGGCAAATTCTAGCTCTCGTTCTGTTCTTGCGTGAGCGAGTATTTGAACAGTGTCCCAATTGAACGTGTGCCCTTCTCCGTCTTCGTAGATTGAGACGAGTGACATTGGGTCATGTCTTCTGCTGGCAAGCTTGTGTTCGTGTATTTTCGTATCAAGTTTTC